CAGAAGATTTGCTGTAGTACCGTAGTTTATGAAAGGGGGCAAAATGCTCCCTTTGATGGCCTAATGACTTGACCTTCTATACTATAATATAGCCAGGTCAAAAGTACCTGTTCGCGAAAGGGTTAATGTAAAAATCTAATTACCACAACACTAGCTACTGAGCAGGATAATACCCAAGCCACGCAACAGGCCAGTAGCTCATCGACTAGAGCTGTTGGTAAGAGACGGCGTCGCGGTGAAATGACAGCAAACTTGTCAAGCTTCAAGAGGAATACGATGAGCTGAAAAGGTCTTAGTAAAGAATAATCTGCCCGTTTTTTCCCGGAGAAAAGTTCAACTGGTTCGGTTGGCGGTCCATGAGGCTGTTGGTGGTTTGGCGGGAAATTGACGAGTGGCTCCAATTCCTTTACCAGTGGTTCAATAAGGTTTTAGCACACCAGCAAATTACCTAGATAAAAATATTTTAATTAATTTGATTGGTTAAAACATGCTCATTATGATCTCCTGTAACTGTACTGCAAAACCCGATCCACAACCATTTCCATTATGATATGATGTAAGACACGAGTATTAACCCTTTTAAGTCTATAGCCTAAAGTATACTTCTCTGGCTCTCTTAGGTCACACTTTTTTAATTTGATCCAATGATCAGCCCGGATTGCACTAATATACCAAACATATCTGATCTCGCCGCATGATAGAATGATAGCTCGTCATGCAACAACGTTCCAGTGGTGCATACAAATACGAGGAGCCCATTTAGGAATGCCTTTGTTCAGCTTCTGCCGACACCAATGGTGGACTCGGACGTGTTCGACAGCGCCGCGATGGGGCCCTAGTCAATTACTGTTGCGGCCCGGGGCCACAGATGAGCTGGCTGGTATTGAATGTAAGTCCCATAAGGACATTTGTCCTGCAAAACTGGTGGAAATTGGTTATTTTCTCCTGGGTATAGTGAATCCCTATTACTGGTTGATTACACTTCTTTCCATTTGGAAAACTTAGGACACTGTGCCCTGCGATAAGCAAGCTATTGGGTACAATGTCCTGCAAATCCTGGCGAATGTAGCTAAAAATACGAGTTTGATGTTATCCTTGATAAGAGCATCAACCGAACCTCTAGCAGCAACAGAACCCATGAAAAACTATAAATAAAATTTCACAATAAAATTGACTTAACCATATTGTTTCCATTACATTTCCTATTGTAGAAATTTGCAAAATTTAATCGAGTTATTTTTGTAAAACGATGCATAATGCCACCTCTTACAGCAATTTCCAGCGGGTCAAAAAATAATTTAGTCAAATCTCGAGTACAAATTTTAAGATACTGTTTTGTAAAGCGTGGAATAATGCATCGTTTTGCTGTATTTCCGGTAAGTGTCTAATTGGTTCAAAATTATTTATTGATTTTTGATTGGTCGATTTTGTAAAATGATGCATTATGCCATGTTTACAACGATGGGCAACAAATGGGTTAATGTTGTTGTAGGTGATGAGATTTAAGCTTGTCTTTAACGTGCGATAAACGCTCTCTTCTCGATCGTTCTCCTGGTGTACAGCACTCATAGCATCCAAGTGCTGCATTTGCCGAAACGTGGCACTCTCCGATAACGTGACTCCTGCGTCGTTGGGCTCGCGGGTATGGCTAATCGCCCAGGCCGCGCGAGCTATATCGCCTACGCGCACGTCCAGTTATTCAGCCAGATACGTGTCGATGGTACCCGC